GCTGTTTCCTCCTCAGCCCCCCCCTACCTGCTCCTCACACTGGCTGTTTCCTCCTCAGGCCTGACATCCCTTTACATCTATGGCTAAAGCTGTTTGCTTTGATGTCATATTCTATGAATGCAATGTCTATAAGAGTCTATGAATGAATGAGTCTATAAGTTTTTATGAACATATTTATGACACATCATAATGCATTCAGAAATCATTATAAATATGGCTATACATATTTATAAAAAGGCATAACACATTATAACCATGTCTATTATACATTACAGACGCTTTATGAAGCTCTCTTCCATAATGCACTATAGAAACCTTCATAATGCAGTACAGACAATCTTTAATTCTTATACCTACCATTATAATGCATTACGAAGGTATCTATAGTGCATTATAGTACATTATATCTTTAAGTAAGGTGTCACCATCACTTTCTTTATACATTGAAAGTAAAGTGCAGAGAAAACACTGCTGGAAGCTGCAGATCAACCTGTCATCGGCGCTCATGTCTTACACGGGGGGAGAGAGGGAGCTCAAATCAGCCGCTTAAAGCATCACTGAGTAACTGAGTAATGATAGCTGCTAATGGTGCTAACGGCTTTTTGCTGTTTGAAGTCACATTGCCATCTGACTTTATGAACATAGATATGTCCGCTCAGAGCCACTGGCCCTGGGGCACACAGGCAGAATAATGCTGTTATTCACTGCTTATTATTTGTTAGATATCACTTTACATTCGGAGGAGTGAAGGAACCAAACCAAGGCCTCTGCACTCCCATTACTGGTCCCTCCTTTATGCTCTCCTTTATTCTCGAAAGGGTGACTGAATGTTAAGTACCACACTGCATGGTGGGGGAAGGGGGGCTGGTTATACCCACCTGGGGCACCTCAGCTGCCCTGAACCGGGGTAGGGTTTCACCACCCAGACAGAGGGCACGCCTCCCCGCCCGAGTCCCGCTCTGCTCACTGCCCTCCCCCCAGCCTCACTGCCATTTTGCACCCTGGTCCCCCTCCCCATCCACCTCAGAACTTCTGTTTTGCTGCCCATGAGTAATAAGGGGGGGGGGGTGTTGACAAAGCCAGGATTGTGCTCAGCGTCCCAGGCAGGGCGAGGTGGCGTAAGGAGTGACCCCCAATGCCGTCACCCACACATACAGACACAAACACAGACATACACACACACACACACACACACAGACAAACACAGACATACACACAGAGAGACATACACAGTCACAGGGATCAAACACAGACATACACACAGAGAGACATACACACACACACACACAGACAGACAAACACAGACATACACACACACACACACACACACACAGACAAACACAGACATACACAAACACACACACAAACACACACACATACACAGACACACACAGTCACAGGGATCAAACACAAAGCCCTGACTCTCTGTAGCAGAGTAGCAGATGTTACATGACGACGCCGCTAATATCCTCCCCTGGCAGAGACAGTAATGCGCTCCCCTGCCACCCTGCCCATAACACTACCCATAATGCACAGCAGCCTCTCCAAAGTGCCTCCACCTCCAGGAAACACCATTAACACTCGCTCTCCCCTTAATGAAGAAGGGCTCCCCTGCCACCCTTCAGACAGAAGCGAGAAGAGAGTCCCAGAGCAGAGTGAAAGCGGGCGGCATCCACACAGAAACGCCAGGCTGCCCCGGCCTCACACTCTTCTGCAATCATGACCGCATTACCCGGCAAAGGCAGAAAGGCCTCCGGCACGACATCCAGGCTACTGGCTCCCTGACGGTGTCTCTGCGTGAACGCAAGAGAAACACACGAGAAAACAGAGCAGCTGACGGATCTGGGAAGGGGCTGCGACGGAGTCCAGCCTCAAACATACGCACCTGTGAGTCCTGCGGTCCTTGAGTCAAACAGGACCCACACATCTTACTAGCATATGCAGGGCATGGTTACAATAGTTATTTTTACTGCTGATTGTCTGGGGGTCTCAACCATCTCTTCTGTAGGTGTTTTCCAAGTTTATATTAAGTATTTAATATTTCACATTGGATGGTTAAATACGGTTTTGCACTGTGCTGCAGGCTGCGTAAATCCCTCAGGATGAGGGTTCCTGTGAAATAAGCCCATCATAATTACAGCAGCCTTACATACTATGCATTCAGGCCTTGGCATACAGAGAATCCCTCCCCAGGTCTAACACAACACCCCCATCACTAGCTAGTCAATTCCCCCCACCCAGGCTAGGGAGGAAGTGCTGGGGTTGATCATCATCGAAACATGAGTGAGGGTTACGCGGAAACGCCTTCCAAACGTCTTCAGGCACCATCCCGTCCCCTAGTGCCGAGGTACTGCCAAGCAACGAAGGATCATAGACACAGGGATACACGAACATGGCTGTCGCCACGGTGACTTCACGCATACATATGCAAGTTAACAAACAAACAAACAGTTGGCACATTTTATGTGTGTTTTTTAAGGCTAGCTCTAAAAAGACAACGCCAAGGTTACAGAAGTGTGTACACACACACACACACATTCATTGTGGGGACAACCCATTCATTTCTACAGGAAAAACTCTAATCCTAAAATGAGGACCTTAACCCCAACCCAGCCCTAACCTTAACCATAAGTAACCAAACAAAATACAAGATTTTTGGCATTTTTAGTTTTTCGACTGCAGTGACAGACTTTTATAAAATTGAATTTCCCTTGTGGTGACCAAAAAGAGGTTTTTGATCACATTGTGGGGACATTTGCTCTCTACAAGGTAATGTATATCTGACCTCCCCCTCTCCGCACCCACCCCCCCACACACAAACACACACAGTCCCGTATTGGTGGGCTAATGCTGAAGGTCACGACACATAAACAGCTTTTTCATGCGGCTCTCACAATGCACAAAACCCTCACTGATGTAGACAAAGCCACGATTACAGCCCCAACAGCATAAACAGCACCCCCAC